CGGAGAGTTAGGGTGTAATAATCGTAAGGGAATGAGAACGAGGGAATTTATAAGTTAGGTAATGGGTATGTGGGTTACGAGTAGTGGTAAGAGTTCGGTCGGGTCGGTTTAATCGGATTGTACTTATCTGAACCCGACCCGACCCAGCAACGGAGAGTTAGGGTGTAATAATCGTAAGGGAATGAGAACGAGGGAATTTATAAGTTAGGTAATGGGTATGTGGGTTACGAGTAGTGGTAAGAGTTCGGTCGGGTCGGTTTAATCGGATTGTACTTATCTGAACCCGACCCGACCTGAAGTTTTCTCAACCGCACCGAACTGCCCAAAGTCTGGCGGTTCGCGTCGGTTTCTCAGTGTGAGCCGAACAATGCTCACCCCAGACAACAGAGGAGAGAATGACACTCTCTCCTCTCTCTCATCATATATATATATATATATATAATATATATATATATATATATACAGTTCGGTTCAGATACCATTCAAATGCGTACGCCAGCAACCTGGAAGCATGATAACTTCTGGGCTTTTTTGAAAAATGCCATTTCGTTTTGTGGGAATAAAACCCTCTGCCTTCACATCCCCAATCAGCGTCATCCCCGTGAATCTGGAGAGCAAATTTCCTCTCCTCTCCCCCCTCCAAGAGCCGTCCTCCTCAAAATCGACTCATCTCCGCCGACCAACTACGGGAGCCAACGCTGCCGTTATGGGTGATCTCGTATCTCTCCTCTCTCCTTCTCCAGCGATCCCTCTTCGTCGCGAGCCACGCTCCGCCGATTTGACATCGCCAGTCGACCAGGCAGCCAACTCCGACGGAAGCTAAACGCCAGGTAAAATCTGCGATCCCTCTTCTAACGATGGCTCTTCAAATAATTTGTCTTTTTGATCCTTACACTAAACATTTGAATCTTGAGCCCTAGCCTGAGAGTATCTAAAATCAGATCGAGAGAGAGCCCAAGACCTTCCTTCATCCCCAAAACGAAGGCTCCATTTGAGAAAAAAAATACTGATTCAGAAAAATAATAGTGATTGATGGCTTTGATTTTCGCTGCTGTGGAGCTTAAATTTGATATATGATTCATGTATTTAGAAAAAAATTTCCCCCAAAAATATTTTTATGATTCACTTTATTTCACAGCAGCAAATCATAGAAATTTTGATTGAGCAGGTTAATACATATGATTCATATGATTCAAGAAAAAATGCTAGAACTTTAACTAAACTTTATTTCACATCCCCAATTCATATTGATTAGAAAAAAACTTTGCTGCTGTGGAGCTTAAAAACATAGAAATTAGTAACATGTGATTCATATGATTTTATTAGAAAGATGTAAGTGACAAATAGTGATTGATGCTTTGATTTGTGCTGCTGGAGCTTAAATTTGAGTTACTCCTATTCTGCTTAAATTGCAGCTGTTCAGTAAATCTCTAATTCACATTAAAACTAAATCTGAGTACCATGCCGGAACCAAGTATAATGTCTAAATATTAAGTGCAAAGTTTTAACTGGGGAAGATCTTGATTCATATGCTGAGGAAGTTTAGTTACTTATGCTAATGTTTGCTTTACACTTTGCTTGTAGCACGCCAGAAGAAAGTTGTCTAGATCTTCCCAAATATTGCAGTAAATTTATATCCAAAAATTTGTCATAATGGCTTGTATCTTTAAAGGTGAAGTTGAAGTTGCATGTTTGTAAACCTTGCAATTAGTGTTGAGTTGCTGTAGCTTTAAAGGTGAAGTACAATTGCATGTTTTGTAAACCTTACTTATAGCATCTTTTATATGAGAAATAGTGTTTTAGATGAAATTAAATGGTGATTCACGTGGATTTTGCATTCATGAAAGCATCTGAAAGCATCTGATGGTTTGAAGCTCATTGTTCCATATAGCAACATAACTTGGTTATTGGTATGAGTCTAATAATCTGTTCTCATTGGTTTAAATGCAGAAGCATTACCGAATGGGGTTTGTGGACATTGCTCAAAGGCTTTCTGCTCTTGCAAATGCACTGGCATACCGAATGGCTGTGGGTTGTGACATTGCTCAATATCTGAGAACACCCCTCTCAATGCTATTACCAACCTTGTAAAGCTCGTTTTTTGGATGAGATTTAGCTTGGATTTTCTGTTTGTGGCGTTAATTTGAGAAACAATATTTTTGTGGCCTGTATTGTTCGTGACATTTGACGTTGTTTACATTTGCGTGAATTATGTATCAGCTAGCAATTATTTATGAAAAAATTGGAGATAGAAAATTGTGAATGACGTTCAGGTGTTTTGCCTAATTATGTTTTCAAATTCAGCTTGGTTGATGTCGACATTGCGTTATGCTGTTTTGGTTTTTGGGGGGATTCGGAGCGTTCTGCAAAAAGGCAGATGGGTGGATGTTGTTCGAGATCAATCTTTACCGGTTTGTTCAGTTTCAGATGTAACAAGTCTCACCAAGTCTCAGCTCCGTCGCAGAATCTCTCTACAGGTCGATGCGGTGTAGATCGGTCGATGTGGCGTAGATCATTGCGATTTTATCTACGCCTGAGAATGGACGTAAAGGGAATGGATATTTTTTTTAAAGCAAAAATCAACTATTATGCTATAATTCCACTCGAGTTGAATTTCTTTGTAAATTGACAAAACTACATAGTTGTCGTGTCAATATTGTGGTATCAAGTCTTTACGATCAAGTGAACTAGAACATTTAGCTATGCCATCAGATGTCAATGAAAATTTAGTCCTAAAACAACCAAACTCAAGGTCCTGATGTTGCCTCAACACGCGTCCGCTATCTAAATCTGGCATCACAAAGCAAGCACTAATAAACCAAAAGCTGCAAGCAAATATAACACATCTCAGACGCACAAGACTATTGAAAAGCCATACATAATTGATTACTGAAAAGGATTTACAAAAGAATAGCTCAACTGCAACCATTCTCTCCAAACAAATAATACAGCAGCAGCATTACAAAGCCAGACACAAAAAAGGATTTCGAAAAGAAAACAGAAAAAGAAAAGGGGGGGCCTCGCAACCTCTCAGTGGACTACAATTTTACAATCACATACCAGCAAGTGATATTTTCTTACAAATAAATCAGATGGATACGTATATTGCTAAGTACAAAGGAGCTCGGCAGGATGAATAAATATGTCAAATGCATTGTGGAAAGCCTTATCTACATCACAGTGCAATTGCACTTGGATTCCAATTTCGGGGGCTTTAGATCATCTCCATCATCCTGCGTCTGTAACCGAACCTGGAGGAGGTCGGAGCTGACTCGCAGGGCTTGGGGTCACGACGGAATGGACGGAGGAGCTCGACAGTCGGATGTTGGGCTGGGCGAAGCTCGAGGAGCTGGGAGTGTGGCAACGCGCGAAGCTCGGAGGTGGTCGGTGGTTTTGGCATCGGAAGGAGCGCGGCGATGGCTGAGGGGTTTGGCGCGGTCGGTGGGCAGGGGAGGGGAGTCGGCGTGGGGCGGTGGGGGGCCTCGTCGGAGTTGGCTCTGGTCGACGGCGATGCAAATCGGCGGAGTTGGCTGCGCGATCGAGAGAGGGATCGCTGGAGAAGGAGAGAGAGAGATCGAGATCACCCCTAACGCAGCGTGGCTCCCGTAGTTGCGCTGCGGAGATGGGTCGATTTTGAGGAGGGACGGCTCTTGGATGGGGGGAGAGAGAGGAATTTCTTCAGATTCACCGGGGATGACGGTTGAATTGGGGATGTGAAGGCGGAGGGGTTTATTCCCCAAACGAAGCGCATTTTTTCAAAAAAGCCCAATCAGCTGTTGCTGCGTACGCATTGATGCGCGTATCTGAACGCGACTTGTATATATATATATATATATATATATATATATATATATATATATATATATATATATATATATATATATATATATATTATATATATTATATATATTATTATATATATATATATATATATATATATATAAGAGAAATGGGTATGCTTGGTACTAAACATAAGTTTTTATGCTCGGTAGTGAGCTAGCATATTCCCCTCCACTCATTGAAATCGGGGATCACATTCACATGAGTTGGGGAGCAGTTGGGAATTGAAAATGAGTGGATGAGAATAAGACACCTATATATATATATAAGAGAAATGGGTATGCTTGGTACTAAACATAAGTTTTTATGCTCGGTAGTGAGCTAGCATATTCCCCTCCACTCATTGAAATCGGGGATCACATTCACATGAGTTGGGGAGCAGTTGGGAATTGAAAATGAGTGGATGAGAATAAGACACCTCACTACCAAGCAAAAAATTTATGCTTTGTACTTTGTGAAATGGGTATGATTGGTACTAAACACAAAAAGTTGTGCTTTATAGTAAGGTGTCACATCCCCCTCCACTTATTCAAATGGTTGCATATCCTCATACACTCCTCAATCCATGTAAATATGGTCCCCCATTTAAATGAGTAGAGGAGGATGTGTCACCTCACTACCAAGCATAAAATTTATGCTTGGTACCAAACATACACATTTCTCTCTCTCTCTCTCTCTGTGTTTCTCATTTTGCATATAATAGAAAATATCAGCACTTCAACTATTATTTCAAGGTAATTATAAAACGTGGGCTTTTTCTAAACAATACGCAGCCCATTAATAGCCCACAAGAAGTCCATCCCCGTATCCACGTGCCCGACCCATTACTTGTACAAATATCTCCCGAGCCTCGCTGTGTCCATTTTCGTAAATTTACCAAAAAGCACAGACACGCGGTCTCCTCTCCTCTTGCAGCCCCTCGCCGCAAAAACCCCCAACCACCACGCAGCGTTTGCAATCTCAGACCCTAACCCTAACCCTAATCGCCGCCGCCGTTTCAATGTCCACGAAGAGTGCGGGGGAGGAGATCGAGGAGCTGAGGGCGAAGGCGATAGCCTCCATGCCGACGTCTTCAGCAAACCCTAGCTCCGGCCCAAGATCCAAATCCTCGCAATCTAAAGAAGAGGGCGAGATCTCTCCCTCTGAAGACGCCGCCTCTGTAATTCTCCTCTCCCTCGTTTGAGCCCTAAGATTGAAATGTTTCGTTTCACCACTCTCTGATGCTTCATTTTAGGGTTATTTTGTCTGTTACTATTGTTTGTAGTAGGTTTGATTGGTTTCTGGTGAGTTTTTTTTTTGTTGCTTTGCATTAGAACCGTTGTGGACGTAGGTTTGGTAAGTTTTGTGCAAGAAGAGAATGCTGAAAATGGTTAGTTCTAGTGTCTGCCCATTAGGGATGGATTAAGACTTAGGATTTGAGCACTGCGTGCATCATTTGGTTGTATCTCATGTGGATGACAGTAGCAATCCTTTCTTCGAGTCGTTTTGTGAGGCCCCTTAATGAGCAACCCCGAATACCAAGGTGGCCGTTCTAATTGATTAATTCCCCTTGTTGTCAAATCCTGAGGCAGCTTTTCATCCGGATGTTTAGAATTTGGTTTTACTGTTTTAGTTTGATTGGAAGGTTGATGTTCCATGTATAGTAATTGGCTTTCAGAAGGAAAATTACTAATAATGATGTGATTGCTTGATGGGCGTTGCCAATGGAAATTTCTGATTTGGGCTTGTTTGACCTTATTGAAAGTTTGAAACACTGTTGATGGATTCCTTAGTAGAAACTATTCCATAAGAAATAACGGCATTAGGTATTTGGAAAAAGACACTTAGGAGCATACACTTTGTATCACAGTGGAAGATTATGTAATTGTGGTCGATTTTCTTTGATAAAGTCACTTTTCCAATGTTACAAGTATATTGGTACAGAATTCACCTTCTTTACCATTCTAACTTTCAATACTTTTTTTCTTCCAATTTGTTGTTTTTCACAAAGTTTCTTGTACTTCCATTCAGGAACTACCAACTTGTTCTGGTGCACTACCCAATGCCACAATATTGGAGGAACAAGCACCTATGGTTTCTGTGGATGATCATGATCTGGCAAAATCAGGTGCTTCCAGTCAATTCTGATTTTCTATTTTGTAATCAGCAATGATGTTTGCATTATGACTTCGCTGTGAACATACTAATTAATAATACGCTATTCATATGAAATGCATTACGTTCATCAACTTCTCCCTTTAGTTTCTAGTATTGGTTTTATTTTTCTATGCTATGTCTCCTTTTTTTTATTTTTTATGCTATGTCCCATTTTTCTTTAATGCTTTGGGTTATATGCAATAGATGCTTAAAATCTTCTCCTTTTATTTTTTTTTCCCAAATGTTGGTTTTCAATTATATGATAGACCTTTTGCTTTATACTTTGGTACATTTGTAGTGGATGCTATTACTTTTTGGGAGGCTAGAGATATACCAGCGTGCAAGTTTTTTTGTGAAGTACCTACTACCTAGTAGATTTTAAGTTCTTTATTGTTATTCGTGATTCTGGTAGTAAAATTGTGAGCAAGAGTACAAAATTTTGCCAAGTTCTTTACTTCTTTTGCTTTAAAGATTTTTTCATTTACGGCAATGGAAATATTTTTCTGATTAACTTAGTCAATATCTTGTTAATACTAATATGTTTCAAACTTTCAATTTGGGCAAAGTCATCTTTGTAATAGGTAAGGTTTTGCACAAATTCTTTAAAACCAGTGTTTAAATTTAATTAGAAACCTACCAAGTCACTGTTTATGTAAAAAAAAAGATAAATTTTCGGCCACGTCCATTGTAAAAGTAGTCAAACTTGCTTTGAGAGAAGAGAAGAAGAAGATAAATTTTCGGCCACGTCCATTGTAAAAGTAGTCAAACTTGCTTTGAGAGAAGAGAAGAAGAACTCGAAGACCTTGGAGCGAGGGGGGAGGTGACGGGGGGAGGGGCGAGGGAGAAGCGAGGGACTAGGGAGTATGTACAAGAATCAAGAAGTTAATTTTTGGTCTGCGATGAAGTTGTGGTTTTGAGGAGGTATTCATAGGGATATAAAGGGTAGGGATATGAAGGGTTTACATTTGCAAACTGTCCCATAGAGATAAATGGCTAAAATAGGGTTGAGAGACCAGGGTGTTTGATTGGGCTCCTTCCAATCCAGATAACGGGCCGGTTTCCAGATTAGTCCTAGTCTGGAATTTTGACCCCTCAACCCATAGTCGATTGACCTGGAGCCTACAAATATTCTTGTTGCAACTACTCTAGTCTGTATTTTTCTCAAGTATCCTTCTCTTGCACTAGAGAAAAGAGAGAACCCCCTTATAATCCACCAAACCATGTAAAACATTAGTTAACTTAAGAATAAAAGGTCAGAGGGGAGATGTTATCACATGTATGTATGCATGTGTGTATGAAGTACAATGTTACAGAAGGCGCTAGGCGGACTAAGCATTTGAGCCAACACCTAGACGTCTAAGCATGTACGCTTAGGCGGCACCTAGGCGTTTGGCTATTTTTTTATAATAATTGATAAAAATATATATTAAATTCATATAAATTTGTAAAAGAATAGATAGCAATCCTAGATCCAAACCATGCATACTTAAATGCTAAATAGCCAAAATAATAATTAACAATGTTATAGAAAGCGCTAGAAGGCCTAAGTGTTGGGCCCGTCGCCTACAACTTAGGAGATTTTCTTTTTTGTTTTTTAATTACAATAATTGATAGTAAATGTTAATATTATAGAAAGCTTAGTTGTCGGACAGATGTCTATGCGGATTTCTTTCTTCATTTAAGTGGTGATCGTGGAAGTTTTGTTGAAGGTTGAAGGAGGTGGTGGAGGTGTTTATATTTGGAGGTTAAACGAGTTTGGAAGAGGTTGGAGGATGTGGAGGGTGCAACACAGAAAATCACGATCAAGGTCTAAAGGATGCAATCCACGTAAGCAGACAATGCTCCCCTAAATACTCCCAAAACCTAGATGGATAGTCTAGGTACCGTCTAGACGCTAGGTGCTAATTAGGCAGCCAAGGTACCGCCTAAGCCTAGGCGTACGCCTAGGCGGACTAGGCGGAAGTTTTTTAAAACAGTGATGAAGTATTAAACACTTTCCCTCTTGCTTACAACAAGTAATTGAAAGACTGATAACTTATATATATAGGACACATTCCCCAACAAAAGATGGAATATCTCACGCCCATGTCTTTAAATGATAGCTTGGAATCCATACAACCATATAAAATATCAAACGTTGATCAAACTAAATATAAAAGCTGCAGAAAGCTAGCTGTTATCAAATTTATAGGTATAGAAAGTCGAACAACTTGCATGTATTCAAAAGAAGAAAGACATATGTTCTGTTCTATTAAAAAAACTCTTGAAGCATCCGTGTGCTTTCTGGTTTATCTTATTACTTTCATATTCTTGATTCCATCTGGATATTTATTAACATAGAGTTTTTTTTTCCTGAATTCACGAGCATGTTCCAACTTGATCTTCAGCTAGCTTAAAATCCTGGCAGTTCTCATATTTCTGCAGTGTTTGTATCATTGCCATACCCTTCTCAGTTTGATGGAAATTTTGAAAACATGGTATGTATATAACGCTTAAGTAATGAAGGATTGCTTGATGCAGATTTTTCTACACTAAAAACACTTCGTTCTAGCAGTCCAAGCATGGTAAATGCTCAGGTCCAAACAGCAGCTGCGAAAAACTATAGTAAGCATTTTAAGACAGCTCAGGTGCCACACAAAGCTACCAATAATCGCAATCTTTCCTGGCATGGGAAAGGTTCAGATGAGAATCTTGTGATAAGCTTTTCAGATGATGACAGTGAAAGCAATTCTGAAGAATCTGAATCAGAAAAAACTATCAGCAGAAAAGAAAATATTGCTAGAGCAAACAGATCTGAAGTGCCAATAGCATCCACTCCACTTCCATCGAGAAAATTGCAAGGATCAAATAGAACAAATCTTGTGCAGAAGAAAGGATTGGTGAATCCTGCTCGCATTTCTGATATGAGAACCCGTTTGACAAGTTCCAATTATGTAGGAACTCCAGCTGAGATGGATTCTCTGGCTCCAAGACATAAACTTAGCACCAAAACTTCAGCAAGGCAAGAGCAAGGCTATGGACCAGATTCGTATGCGGCTTATCATAGATTAGCAAATTTACGTCAGGAAATTGTGCTACGGGAGAATAAACTGAAGGCACAAAATAAATCGATTCCTCAAAGTAATGAAAAAACTGGTGGTCCTCATAGTGGTACTGGTAACCGTGGTCCTCATGCCGTGGTACTAGCAACCAAGGCTACTGGTGTTAAAAGACCCGCCTCTGTTGCTGATAAAGGATTGATACCAAAGGAGAAAGTGCAGAAACATCTGAAACCTTCTGTAGGCACAATTGGCAAACATAGTTCTATTAATCAATTGAAATTACCTATATCTGCCGTCAAATCTGCTCATGGATGCAGTTCACAACTTATGGAAAATGACGGTCATCTCCACAAGAGAGATATAATGGAGTCTCGCAACCACAAGAATGAAAATCAACAACATGCTGCTGTTACAAGCACCATGATGTCATCTGGAGGTTTGCTGAAAGTGAACAACGGACCTACAGTACCTGTCTCTGAAACCATGTGTTCCAATGCGTTGGTCTTTTCTAAGAATAGGAATCAAAGTAAGTTGGTTTCTGATGTCTCTCGTAGTTATGATAACTCTGAGAAGAGGGAGATAGCCATAAATTTTCATGGCATACCTGGACAAAGGCCATGCCTATCGCAGATAGATCCTAATATAGAGGATGGAGCACTTCGTGAGAGCAATGTGTTACTCCATAGAGATCCGGTACATTTCTAGGGTACTCAATTCTTTTTTCATTTGAAGTATTCAAAACTAAGCTGAAGAGTTGTAGAATCTGGCATATGGTGGTTATTCTGTAATCCTAACAAACTTCTATGTGATGAGTGTTGAGTTTATTCAAGTTGAGAGTATTGAAAAATATTTGGATAATTCTTCCCCTATTTTACTTGCAATAATAACTGAAAGTTCATAGTTGCAACAAAATAATGTTCTTGTGTATTACTTTGAAAAAAAAGGACTTTTGCGCACCTTCTGACATAGTTATAATTTTTGTCTTCAAATTTGGCAGAACAGAGAATTACCAGGTTCCAATATAACAAGATGTACTGATGTTTCTACCATGCTCCCAAACAAAGTGCCAGGGGACCATAATATAATGGGAACCCGACAAACTCTAGCTTCAACTGCGGCACAAAGACCTCTAGAGACATCAAGTCATTTTTCTCAGAGGTGCGCAGGTCAAGCCTCAGATGGCAAGTCAGGCAACACTGAGGTAAGTCTAGAGGTTCTGTTTGATTAATTTATGTAAAACGGTTTCTTTTTCAAATGGTATTTTCTTTTCCTATGCAAGGCATCTCTGCAAAACCCAAGCATCTTAAATTACTCTACTCAGATAAATACACCGGGAGAGGCAAGCATGAACTTGCAATCTTTAATGGAATTGGAGGACTTGCAAGACAAAGAGTTGGAAGAGGCACAAGAACTCAGACGCAGGTGTGAGCTTGAAGAAAGGCGTGCGCTCAAAGCTTATCGCAAAGCACAGAGAGCTTTGTTTGATGCCAATGAAAAGTGCTGCCTCCTGTATAGAAAAAGGGAACTGTTCTCTGCACAGCTTAGAGGGTTACTTATGCAGGCTTCGGATTCCATATTGCCTTCTGGTTGGCAGAGTCATGGCGGAACCGTATCTGAATCTATAGAAACTCTTCCAGATGCTAGGTTTGGTCTATTGTGTAGTTTGGGACATCACCTTGCTGTTGAAGGTCGAAGTGTTGGTCAGTTTGGCTCTGACTCTAACACTAGATGCTCAAGTGATGCCCGAGCTGATGCATCTTGCCAAAAGTTAAACGAGCATGATCTTGTATCTGCCCAATGTGAACAGGATGCTAGTGCATTAGATCATAGAGATAACCATGCTTTAGATGGCGCATTAAGTCCTGCCTTCCAATCCAATGCATCAAATGAGGATGATGAGAACTATGCTTTTGAACAGAGACCTCTTCGTTTTCAAGTTCTTTCGGAGGTAAATCATGTTCAAACAACTTCTGGTATGACCGAAGCAATAAGATTGCCATCTGATGAGATTGCCCAAGATTATGGACTGCTTGAAGCTTCCTTGAGATCCAAGTTAGTTAAGCGATTTGGTAGCAGATTCCCATACAAGAATAACAAGATAGGTGAAGCAGAATGCCTTGTTCAGGAAGGAACTGATAAGAGTGAAGATGCTACAAACTTCACTTTTTCTGACCAACAAATGCAAGAGGGAGAGAAAACTGAAATATTATATCTGGAAGGTACACGTTCATGCTTTCATTTGAAATTTACTCGGGCTCTTTTACTTGATTACAAGTTGATGTTGTTGTCCAGTTTACATCTTTTGTCACTGTGTAGTTCTTTTTGAAATAACTTTTGCAGCCTTCTTTGAACTTACAATCTGATAATTCTAGTATTTTTTATAATTATTATCATGAATGTGGTGAGTCACACCTTGTGATTCAGAGGCAATTTGTTTTATGTCCAGACGCTAGATAAGATTAAGAATGATAGCAACATGTTCTTTCTGGGGTACGAAAAAGCAACTCAGGCAAACAACTGAAATGATATGTTGATTAGTGGTTTAGCCTTAAACAGTCAAAGCCTTTATTCCTTTGTCTTTTCTCTTTTAGTAGCTAAAACAATAGGACAAGGCAGCTCAAGTCGTTTAGTTAATATGTTTCCACTACTTTCTGCATTATCCATTTTTGTTCCATTAAGTGTTTAGTTACGGAAAACAATATAATAACAGTTAATGTGGTTTAGATGGTTTTGTTAAACCAGATGGTGAGGGTCTGGCTTAAACCACTTAGACACAATGTCCTTATTACTCTGCTAAATGGGGTTGGAGATATCAACTTTGAGTTAGCTTATTCATTTCCCTCTCTTCTTTTTTGGTGTCATATTTTGTTCTGAGTAAATTTATCTGCTAGTTTTGTGATTTGTAGGACAAAGACAATGGAGAACCTATCTTATGTACGCAGTTGAGATCGCTTTGTTCTTGTGTATGAAGAGGGCTTCCTAATGCTGCAGTATCTACAAGCACTAGAATGTATCACCTCAATGGATTTGAATACTACCCATGAATATGTTACCTCAGATAAATCAACAACTTGAAATAGCATGTTGGACATCGGAGCTTCTAAATTCGGAATTGGAGCCATTGGTCTTGATCTAAATGGTTTCAAACTCCTTAACACCAAAATCTAAATGGGGTTAGAATATTTCATACCAATATAGATCTTAGCAACTTGGTGGTATCATTCTATTAGGATCATGTTGATGCACATTTAAGGAACAATTAAATTATATTAATTTGTTTATAGGTGTTCTAAATGATTTAGATCATTTTTACTAATATGGATCTTTCATTAAAATTGCACAACAATACTTTACTAGTGATAGGCTTCAAGCTTACTATTATTAGGATCCGATTCTCTATATATGGTACATATAGACACTTGGGAAAACGGCTTCATTTGTATCTGATTGCAAATACTGTCCCTGATAATGTCATTTAATTCTGTACTGTTGATGTATTAGCATGGAAGAGGCATCAAAACCTCAACTCAAGTTAAGGAAAAACCTAAATACGCTTTTGGTGAAGTCATGGTGGCTTCTTTGAGGTTTTCTGATCATGTTCTTGTACATGTTAGCTATATATGTATATGTCACGGCTTAGATATTTGCATTAATTCCTTCTGCTCTGTTAGCCTTCTACTTTCTTATATATTGTCAGTTACATTTCTTTAGAGGATATCCTTTTGAGGTATGATGTTCATTACCTTTTGAAGGTGTTGAAAGACTAGGAGGAAGTACCAACCAGCTTGCTGCTGATAGCCAGTCTCACAATAATAGCTTCTCTTTAGTTGATGAGGGCCGTATGGATAGAGATTTTCAAGAGGATAGTTTCTTGGACACAGAATCTTGCAGGCCAAACCAAACAACTGGTTCCATTTTACCTTCTTCTGTTCTGCATGTTGCATCTAGACATGCAAAGTCCATGCTGCTTGTGTGTTTAAGTGACTTATCCTCTACAGGAGAGAAGGAAACTGTATTGAGAGAAAAGATCACTGAATGCATGCCAGATGAAAAGAGTACATCCCTCCATGGCATGGTATTTTCAAGAATAGGTAAATTGGAACTCCATAATTATGATCTTACTATTGATCCCTTCTGGCCCTTCTGCATGTTTGAGCTCCGTGGGAAATGTAACAATGAAGAATGCCTGTGGCAGCACATCAAACACCACACTCATAGAAACTTAAAGAACAGTGAGCATTCATTTACATATTGTCCAGTTTTGTATAACTTGCTGCCCTGAAAGCTTTCATCCGTTTAACTATTTACTTGATTCTCTTTCTACGTATACAGATGGTCAGGCCAGCCTTTTACCTAGTGTTGCAAATTCTGATAATCGCCCTGGGCCTCCTCATTACCTTTTTCCCTGTATTTTACCAATTCCATCTTATCACATTGGTTCGGTACCCATAAAAGTTGATTCTCATCTGTCTCAATCAGTACTGGCAAGGAGTATTTGGCAATATTGGCAGAGGGGGTTTTGTGCTTCCTTTTCTTTACCCTTTTCCGTTCAAAGAGTTCTTCCTCCAGATGTGCCATTCTTACAAACTTGTGATGGTCCCGTTGCAGATGGTTATAGTTGGAACAGACTTGCTTTGTATTATCAAACTCTAGATGGTTCAATGGTATGTTGTTTTCAATTAAATCTCGGCGATCCTGTCTATTTACACTTACTTTACGGTAAGCTGCTTAATTGAGGAAATCCTTTTATATGACTATAATTTTTGTTCATTGAGCATGCGTGGTTCGATCTGGAGTTGATCATAATGACACTTCTTTTCTTGATTGAGATATTCCCCAATTATGCATGATCTTTGTCAAGATTCTTGTCCTTCATTTTGTAACATTTCTCCATTGGCTTCTTTATATTATTGTGGATACTTCTCTTATTTATACCTTAACAGGTGGTTTCCTTGTTAATGAAAATTTCCTCCAATGTGTTTAATATGTTTCTTCATTAGCTATTTATAATCGCTGTTTCTCGTCAAATCGCACATGTTGACTTCTGAACCCCGACTCAAATGAGTTATGCTTTTTGGATTATGAGGAAGAAGATCATAATTTAAACAAAGTTTATATGGAAATCATACTCAAGACTCTTTGTGGGCAAATGGCTTCTCTTGTCTAATGATATCCTGGTGAATAATTTCTTAGGCCTTTAGAAAATTCTTGTAACTTAGTTATGGGGCACACTGGTTACACACAAGGGCGGTGTCTTGTTTGAAGATTTCTGCATTATATTGTGCATTTTTTTCTTCTTATCAATCATGTGCTAATCTTTCTTAGCTATTTGTCTCTGTTTTCTATTATCTGAAGCAATCTGTTCATGAATTGCCTGAATCTGAACAATCCTTGGAGATGGCACTTGATCTGTTTGATGGGAGTGTTTGCAAACCAGACAGAAAGAAGGTTATCAGCATAAAATGAAATACTTAGTAATTTTCCTTAATGTTGGTTTTTTTAGCAGGCCTCTTGTTACCTATTCATGTTTCTCAGTACTCTTTGTGTAGGCTCTATGCTTGTTATCACGAGCAATTGAAGTCAACCCCACTTCTGTAGTTCTTTGGGTTGTCTATCTGCACATTTATTACGCAAAGGAGAAGAACATCGGGAAGGACGATATGTTCTTCCATGCAGTAAGTGGCTGCCTTCTTTTGTCTTGGACTTCGGTATCATGTTGACCTATCTATATTAGAATCTTATCTACTGTATAAAATTTAAAATAGCATTGGTTCCAGAGGAAACTAATTCCTGAACAGTTACCATCACATTTTCAAACTTTTGAATCTCAAACTAGGAACTGCGATCTTATTAACAAATAGCCCCTGATTAATAGCTTAATGTACAAACTAGAGTTTGCTGGGTATGTACGGCTACCTTTGTTTTTCTTGTGGCTGATCCCAACATGAAAACTGTTATGCATAGCCTCCACATCACAATCAGGCTCCAGCATATTAGGTGTTAATTTTTTTTGACAACTCTAATGGTATGCTCTTTACTCAGTTTACTGTAAGCTCGTTTTTCTATGGGTGTTAATTAATTGGTACAACCACAACAAAGCCTTTGTCCCAAAGGTTTGGATCGGCTACATAAATTCTATTATTCCATTCAGTTCTATTGTAGGTTATCTGATTGGTTAACTATTATCATTATGTTAGTGAAACACCTCCAAACAGCTGTACAGAAAATAATTTTTTAATATTATACCGATTACATGAAGAACCATTTAAGCACATTAAAGTTAATTTATGATGCTGGCATGACTTCATACCTGTGTTTTGTATGTGATGCATAAAGAACTATATAAATTTGATTGCCTTTCATTATTGTGTTTTAGTTGTGGAATACTTCTCTAATGGGCACCGACATCATTACAAATATAATAATATTCATTACGTGTGATGAGATAGTGTAACATTCTGCTTATTAGGTGCAAAACAACGATGGTTCTTACGAACTGTGGCTCATGTATATTAATAGCCGGAGGCAGCTAGGTGATCGGCTCAATGCATATGAACATGCATTGATGAAATTTTGCCGCACTGAAAACGTTCTTGAGAAGGAAAGAAGATATATCAGCGCATGCATTTTGGACATTTTCTTGCAAATGATTGATTTTGTTTGCATGTCTGGACAAGTGGAGATGGCTGTACAGAAAATATTTGGACTTCTTGGGAACTCTGGTGACACGTTGCTCTCAGATATCCATTCATCCTTGATAGTCTCTGACAGATGTATATTTTGGTTTTGTTGTCTTTATCTAGTAATTTACAGGAAACTTCCAGAGCTAATCGTACAGCAGTTAGAATTTGAAAAGGAGCTGCCATTCAATATTGAATGGCCGTCCACTCACCTAACAACTGACACAAAACATCATGTTTTGAATCTGATGAAACTAGCAGTTGATAAGATGGCTTTAGATACTGATGCCAATCCTCACAGAAAAGATCAAATTGCTCTTAGGTCATTGCACTTTCTGGCTGTAAGCCACATCAAATGTGTAGTGGCACTTGAGGGCTTACATTGTTCTGCAGAATTGTTGGCCAGTTACTTGAGCTTGTACCCAAACTCCATCGAACTGATTCTGATATCTGCTCGTTTGAAGGAAAACTATACTGGGGATTTGGTTTTCAAGGGTTTCGAAGAATTACTTTCTAATTGGCCAAGTGAAACTTCAGGCACTCAGTGCCTATGGAACCAATACATACAACATGCTCTAGTAAATAAAAGGACTGATCTTGCAGAAATTCTTTTGGATCGTTGGTTCCAATGTTTCTCTGAAGATATAAACCTGCATGAAGGCAAGGATGGTTCATGTGATTGCTCTGACCTACCTTCACATGTAAAGTCTGATGGTGGATTAAATAGCTCTAAGCAATATGATGTTTTTTGGTTCCTCAATCTCTCTCTGTATAGGATAATGAAGAAAAACTTAATGGAAGCACACTGTGCTATTGATAAAGCTCTGAAGCTTGCTTCACCTCAAGATTATAAACACTGTGTAAGGGAGCATGCACTGTGCTATTGATAAAGCTCTGAAGCTTGCTTCACCTCAAGATTATAAACACTGTGTAAGGGAGCATGCTGCATTTACTTTAGCAAATGAAGCTGCTTGCTTCACCTCAAGATTATAAACACTGTGTAAGGGAGCATGCTGCATTTACTTTAGCAAATGAAGCTGGGTCTGAGAGCGATAAACCTTTCAACACTATATTGGGACTTCTAAATGGTTACATGGCAGATTCCCGTTCAATGACCATCTTGGAACCATTATCAAGAAAATACTATCGTTACATCAGGAGGCCTAGAGTTAGGCAGCTCATTTATAATGTCTTTGGTCCAGTTCCAAGGGATGCCACTTTACTGAATTCTGTTCTTGAAGTATGTTACGGGACATCACTTCTTCCAGAAAAACTTGATGAGCCCAAGGCATTGATTGATTTTGTTGAATCTCTTATGGAAATTACACCAACAAATTACAAGTTAGCTCTCTCAGTATACAAGTTAACTATGAATTTCTGTCATCCTAGTGTTTCAGCCAATGCTATTAAGTTTTGGGCATGCTCGAATTTGATTAACTCCATATTCCAGGCTATCCCTGTAGCACCTGAGTATATATGGCTCGAAGCTGCTACTGTCATGAGAAATTCAGAAATTTTGGATGTTTCTGTGAGGTTTCATCAGCAGGCGGTATCAGTCTATCCCTTCTCCATTAAATTGTGGCGGTCATACTTGGATATCTGTAGAAGTACTGATGATATTGATAAGATCGTAAAATGTGCAAGAGAAAGAGGTGTTGAACTTAGCTGATTTTTTGCTGTGTTCATCTGTAAGAAATTTATGAATGTGCATTAGAAGCTACGGGAATCAAGTAGAGAGATGCATGATATCCAATGAGTTTTATCGTCATTGGGATCAAAGGCGAACAAATGGAAGTAGCATTGTTGTTATATAATTCTCCTGATTGAAAGTTTGCTGACACGAAAGTCTGTGCTATGGGCACTCGGGAGTTACATAGATGGATACACATATAAATACTTGTTATATAGGAAACTTGGAACTTTGTTGTCTATTTCTGATTTGTTATTTGTTTATAGTTTGGCATTGTAAGGGAGAATACTTCAGGGCTGTTGCTCTGTGTAGCGAGAATGAAAAATGAAATTTTACTGAAAGATTTTAAAGCTATTTACTATCTATATTCAGTATCCTGTTTTGGTTGTGCAACTTTAGCATGCTTTTGTTTTGCTGACCCAAGCAGGTATCAATATTTATATAGATATTCTCAGTGGAACTTACTGTGTTGTTGCAAGCTGCAAGCGTAGCAATGTGCCATTCTCCTTGTTTACTGAATTCTCTCAGGTATTGTGCTTTCAACAGCATATTTAGGTGAGGATGACCAATGATCATAGTGTACCTTCTCCTTGTTTACTGAATTCTCTCAGGTATTGTGCTTTCAACAGCATATTTATTCATTTCTTCTTGAGAAAAATTTGAGACATGAAATCACATAACTTGTGATATTGTTGCTTATGCTAGTGCTATGTATTTATGCTTCTTTATGACCAGAGTTGGACAAGGCTTCATTATAAGATTATATAATCATAACCTCAAAATGTTTCATCTAGTGCGCAGTATGATTTATCCATGCTTCCAATCAAAATCACGGCATATCTTGGCAATCTCTTGGAGTACATGACAAACTGATATAATCAAGAGAAAGAATCCGAACTGACTATGATACCATCTAATCTCAGCTCGGCAATCTCTTGGAGTACATGACAAACTGATATAATCAAGAGAAAGAATCCGAACTGACTATGATACCATCTAATCTCAGCTCGAAAAAAAATAGTATGATGTATATTTGCGCAATCAGAATACAAGACAATAACCCTTGCTCATATATATACATCTGAATAAACTACAGCAGCATCTAATCTCGGCTTGACCAAAAATCATTATGATGTGAATTTGAGTATCAGAATGCAAGACAATAACATGTGCTCATTTATATACAAGTATAACCAGATAAAAGACAGTAGTGCTCATCTAGATACAATACCGAGTACATATTCTCTAGTAATACTATCACTGGCTACTGGAACTAGGGGGTAGAAAATTGTTCCTGCAGAAGAGCACGCATTTTTCCGTGTTTTCCTGTGGAAATGTTTTTATTCACTCCTAATCCACGGCATCTACCCCCGAGGTACACGCACCTGCATTTCACATCGATGCCAGTTACTAAATGAATATAAAGAAACATTGTAAAGAACATTATTATGCGATACAATTTTGTGTTCCTACAGACAATTTGAAAAAGAAAACTGAAAGTTCCCAGCGTAATTCTGCAATTATAAGTAGCCTTCTTCTCCATTTCATTTTGTGGGAATGTACATTTCATCAAGATAATCAAAAGAAAGCCAAAGGTCATTGTGTAAATCTGTTTACATGAATTTTTGTCATTTAGTTCTACTAGTTAACATGTTTTAGTTGGTTTTGTCACAAGTTTTCGTCCTCTATTGGATACCCTGATAAAAACCATTCTTAGTTTCAACAAATAGTCCATCTTTTTACCTGAAGGGGGAAAAGGTAAAACAGTTTACTTGCATTACATTTAAAAATTACAAAATTTGACTCGAAATGCCTATGATTATCAGCTCTGACCAAAGTCATGTAATAGAAAACCTAGCATAAGAGCTCATTTTTCATTTTGCATACTTCACCGACTCCTTAGTACAGTGCTGGTAGTGACAGAATTTTGTTAGCCATACAATTATAACCAAATATCTGAAGTATAATCCAATAGAAGAAAATGTTACTCGATAAAACTTGGAAGGTTAATTCAAAATCCTAATAAATTACCTAGAGACTGTAAGGTCAGGGGATGTAGTCATGATTTCTTCAAATTTTTTTTTCATTTTCAGTTCATGAGAAGAAAGGGAAAGAATATACCAGAAAATGTGGTAACTGTTTTGTTCTATATAAATGGAATTTATACTATGCCCAAAGATATGATTCTTAAAAAGAAGAAAGGAGACATTCCTTTGTCCTGCTATCTCATATCAGCTCTTTACTGCTGCTTTTTGGATGTGTCTAATAAAATCACATTTACATGTGTTCTTGCACTGATTCTAAATGTAACCTGCCATTCCTTTTGGTTAGTGTCTGAACGCATAAGAGAATCTTAAATCTCTCTCACAATATGATATTTAAATTTATATTTGACTAGAAATTCTTTATTATCCTTATTAGAAATTTCCAGTTCAATGATTCTTTATTATTTGCGCATGAAATATGTTTTCTAATCCAACTATATACCCTTCTGACAATGTTTTGTCAGTAAATATGAAGATTCTTTCAAATATTAACTTCCCTGACTATTCATGAAATTCATAAAAACTGATTTTTTTCCTATAAAAATATTCATCTCCGCATCACTTTAAAAGTAATTTTGCATATAATAAGTTTGTCTTGCATGAACTTCAAGAGTGAAAAAAACATTCATCTCCGCATCACTTTAAGAGTAATGTTGCATATAATAAGTTTGTCTTGCATGAACTTCAAGAGTGAAAAAAGCAAGCTTACATTCACGCATTCTAATATAAAATCTAGCACAGATTTAAAAAAAATTGGCTAATAACCGAGGGTGGCAAAATTAACTCAGAAGAAGATATCACTAACACGTTTTAATGGCATCACTAGCCTACAAATGGAGCATCGTTTCGAGTGGAGCATCTTCTTTGTTGATAGTGAACCATATCAAGAGATCAAAAGGAGAAGTCTACTTTATTTCCAACAGAATATGTATCCAATAAGCCACTCTTATTATGCTGTGTATATGGTGTATTTGTTATACATATCATTGACAAAGATCCTAAAAGCTTTCTGCAAATCTATGACAATCACCATGACTGTATTAACTGAATCCTTAATATCCTATACCATCCAAAAAGTTAAAAATGCTAATGCAGCTAAATGAGATGAGTCATCCAAAATATATATTGAGCAAGGGGCCTTTTAGGTGCCTGAAGCAGAAAATGTGTGGACAGCTGTAACACCTGGACACTCTGAACAGTATATCTTAATATAAAGTTAAGAATCATATATGTGTTATAAACATACACAAATTCAGACGCATATATGAGAATCTAACCCAAGCTCAATATGCATAATCAATAATCATTCAAGTACATTAGCTTGAGAATGAAGATGGGAAGCAGATGATGGAAGGGATGACATAATAGCCAAAAGGAGAACACAAGTGGTGTCAATTGCGCCGAATTTTCTTTGCTGCAAAAGTTTGCATCTAGATTATTCCTGTCATGCTATATAGAGGCCATGCCAGTGATTTGTGGTACAAAAGAAAAGCAGGACTAGAATAACATTTATTAGAACAGAAAGCTCAGCCACTCATTTGTGGCCCCATGAAGGTTCTGATGAACACTACAAGATAGTTTAAATCTACACGTAACTGCACGATTTGCATAAGGCATAACTACAAACAAAGGAAGACAAAGAGCATGTTATCGTTAATGGATCAAGTAAGGAGAATGCGTAACAATCTGTACCAAATAGTTAAAAGAAACATGCAATCAGTTGCACAGTCATGGCGCTAAGAACCACTTAATTGAAACTAGCCTTAGCAAACATGTATATATTTTAGAGTAATATTTTGCAAGATAACTGATTCAATGAAGTTGAATTATGCATACTTAATTTCCATTGAGTGGAAATATTGAAAATGAGCAAAAATTGTGTTATATTAAGATGGTTGTTGTCATGTATAACAGAGACCCCTTAGTGCACCGATTAGAAAAAACGATAATATTAGAGCTCATAGGGCTAGGAGATCTAGAGATACACCTAGAATGACTTGGTTAGAAGGAATTAAGAAAGGATATGATTAGGACTAACTTAACAAAGGAGATGACCCATAAAATAATGGAATATAAAAATAGGATTCATGTAGCCAACCCCAAACATTTGAGATAAAGGCTTGTTTTTTTTTTGTTGTTGTTGTAGCATAAATTGTGTGTTATACCCCATAAAAATCATGAATTTTAAAAGTACATGTACCTTATTGTCATTAAGCTGAAATGAACGAAAATGGACAAAATTTATGGGTTATGCCAATGACAATCGCGAATTTTAAAGTATATATACTTAATTGTTATTGGATCAAAAAGAATGAAATGGACAAAAATTTTAAGTAATAACCCATAAAATGATGAATTTTGAAATATGCATCTATGGTTTGAAAAGAACGAAAATAAACAAAAATCAAAGAACGAAAATAAATAAAAATTGTGGGTTAGAACAAATGAAAATCACAACTTGTAATGTACCTATATATGCTTAAGTGGCATTGAGTTGAAACAATTAAAAATGGAAAAAAATCATGAGCTATGGCTCATGAAATCGCTAATTTTGATGTATATGCACTTAATTGCCAATGTTTTGAAATGGTTGAAAATGGATAAAAATTATGGGTTATAGCCAATGAAAACCATGAATTTTGAAGTACGAAAACTTAATTATCATTGGAACAAAATGAACGAAAGAGAACAAAAATCAGGGGTTAGAGCATATAAATATCGCAAATTTTGACATACCAATACTTAATTGCCATTGGGTAAAAATGAAGCAAGTAAATCGTGAATTATAGCTCATGAAACTGCGAATTTTAAAGTGCGCATACTCAATTGTCTTGTGCCAAAATGAATGAAAATGAACAAAATATATGAGTTAAACTATATGGAAATCACAAACTCTTAGATATGCACTTAATTGCAATTAGGTCTAGACAAGCGAAAATGGTCGCGGTTTATAACCATGAAAATTGCAAAATTTAAAGTAATCATACTTAATTCTCATTGGTTGAAAGCAAACGAAAAATGGACAGAAATGATATGTTATAAGCCATGAAAATCGTGCATTTTGAAGTACTCATACTTAATTATCATTGGGATGAAACAATCGAAAATGGATAAAAATCATGGATTTTATCCTATGAAATGATAAATTTTCAAATATGTGTAATTAATTGCTATTTGACTGAAATGAATGAAAATGTATACATAATTATCAATCAAAACACGAAAATGGACAAAAATCATGGGTTAGCCCATGAAAATCGCAAAATTTTAAGCGTGCATACATAATTGCTACTCGGTCTAAACGAACAAAAATGGACAAACAATTCGGATTATAGCTTATGAAATTACAAATTTTGAAAGACATGTACATAATTGCTATAAGCTTAAAATGAAAGACGATGGACAAAAATGGTGGGTTAGACCCTATGAAAAACACAAATTTTAAAACACCATACTTAATTGCTAATGGGTCGAAACAATTGAAAATAGACAAATCATGGGTTATAGCTTATGAAATCAATAATTTTGAAGTACGCATACTTAATTTCTATTAGGTAGAAACAAATAAATATAAGTTATAGTCCAGAAAATTATGAATTTTAAAGTACGAAAACTTAATTTTTATTAAGTGGAAATGGTCAAAAAATTGTGGTTAGAACATATGAATGTCAAAACTTTTGAAATACCCAAATTTAATTATGATTGGATCAAAATTAATAAAAATAGACACATACTTAATTTATTTGGGTTGAAACGAACGATAATGGACAAAATCATGGGTTATAGCCATGAAAATCATGAAAATTTAAGTGTGCATACTTAATTGCTATTAGGTCAAAGCGATCAAAAATGAAAAAAAAACATGGGTTAGAGCCTACGAAAATCAAAAAATGCCCACACTTAATTGCTATTTGAGTCAACACAAACAAAATGGACAAACGTTGTGGGTTATAACCCATGAAATTGCAAACTTTAAACTATGCATGTTTAATTACAAAAATCACGGGTTATAGCCCACGAAAATTATGAATTTTGAAGCATACATCTTTGATTGTCATTAGTGGGAAACAAACGAAAATGAATAAAACTCGTAGGTTGTTAGTCATGACTATCCCACATTTTGATATATAAGTATTTAACTGCCACTCGAAACGAACTAAAATGGACAAATATCATAGGTTATAGCACATAAACTGGCAAATTTTGAATACGCATACTTAGTTGTTATTGGATCGAAATGAATAAAATTCATAGGTTAGAACTCATGAAAATCGTGACTTTTCAAGTACACATAATTAATTACCTTTGGATGGAAAGGAAGGAACGAAAACGAACAAAAATTATGGGTTACAGCGCATGAAATTTGTAAATTTTGAAGTAGACATAACAAAAATTGTGTTAGGCTAAATAGCACTTAAATAAATTATAGCTTCACTCTAATGTTTTAAAAAGCTCCCATATGCGGTACATTGACCACCCGCCTAGGTCTTGGGCGTGCCTAAAAGAGAGTGGACCGCTTACACGAACTACACCGCTTATGTCTTTATCGTAATTTCCTCCACTGTAGCCTCCACATCCTCCAAAGTCATCTAGTCTCCTCCACTAACTTGAAACACCTCCGGTTTTCAAAAGATCTTTACTACATTTAAACAAATTAAGAAATCTGCCAAGGTGCCAGTCATCACCTAGCGGTGTCTAGTACTTTCTATAATAGTGGTACTTATTATCAATCATTATAGTTAAAAAATATAGAAAACTTGCCTAGGCCTCACTAAGGCTCCTGCCTAGGCACCAAGTCTTTAGGTGTCGGGTCTGGGGCCTAGACCGCGTAGCGTTTTTTGTAACCATGGCTCGCTATGCTCTTATATACCCTCACTTGTTTTTCATAACATTTATATTACCCGAAGTTGTTTAACATTGGCATATTACTACTCTCTTTTATGCATACGTGAAATTTTTTACCTGAATGCTCCAAAATAACACTCACGTGCTAATTGATTCAAGGTCATGAGAATATTTGGGAGAAGATTTTCATGTTTGCATAATAGAGGCTAGTAATGAGTCAATTTTAAACAACTTAAGGTATACAAGTGCCACGAAAAACAAGTAGGGTATTTAAGTGAAAATGCATAAAATTATAAGGTTTTAAGTGTTATTTTACCTATGACAATCGTAAATTTTTAAGTACACATATTTTACTATTATTGGGTTGAAAACAAGAAAAATGGAAAAAAAATCATGGGTTAGACCTCACGAAAATCACGAGTTTTGAAGTAACCTTACTTAATTGTCATTGGGTTGAAACAAATAAAAACAAACAAAAAGCGACCGCAAATTTTGAAGTACATATATTTTATTGTCATTGGATCGAAATAAACGAAAATGAAATGAATCCAAACACAAAACGCAATTTTTGGGTGAAATGAATGAAAATGGACAAAAATCATGGGTCATAGCGTATGAAATGGCTCAAATACGCGTACTTAACTAGCATTTGATCAAAACAAATAAAAATAAACAAAAATAATGGGTTAGAATGCATGAATATTGTAACCTTTGAAATGCCCATGCTTAATTGTCATTGGTTCAAAACAATCGTAAATGAATAAAAATCATGGGTTATAGATCATGAACTTGCTAATTTTAAAATACGTATATTTAATTGTTATTAGATTGAAATGATCTAAAATGAAGAAAGATTGTGGGTTATAGTCTATGTTAATCGCGAATTTTGAATTAGGAAAACTTATTTTTCATTTGGTCAAATCGAATAAAAATGAACAAAAATCATGGATTATAGCTCATGAAATTGCAAATTTAGTGTACGCATACTTAAATGACACTACTGATCACTACATCGAAACTAACATTAGGAAACATATTATATTACAGAAATATTTTGTAAGAAATTTGAAAGATTGAAGCCTAATTTATTAAGTGAACAAGAAAACAGAGTTGAGTGAAACTTAAACAAAGTCTGTGTTTAAAGTAAACACAACTAAGTGATGTTTAATCTGTTAAGTCAACGGTAAGACAGAGTTAAGTGATGTATTTTTTCACTTTCGCCGTTTATAAGAAAATGATAAGACAATTTGACAGCTTCAAAAAAAATCTCTCTTCAACAATTGACACCAAAGTACAAGTTCTAACAACATAAATTTTAGTTTATACAGAACTGTTAGTGTTATGCGAGACGTTAATTTCCTACTCTATCCACATCAAGCTACCTAACATATGAGGTACATGTGAAACTTCATGATAAGGTAATTGACATGCCAAGAAAATTTCGTGAGAAGTTACTCCATTATCATCTTTCAAATTAGTTTTTTCTTCTTTCCTTCCTCCCAGTATACCTCTGCTTTCATTCTGAGAATGTGAACACTATAGTCCAGTACTTAAAAGGTTCCCTTCCAAAATGGTTTTCTTCCCAATCTGTTCCTTTAAAACATGTATACCATGATGTCATTATTAAGAATTGTTCTATCAAATATCAATGTCTAAGCATTTGCATGTTACTACCATATCAACCTGATGCATTGATTTTTTGCTGAAATTGACATCCAACTTTTCCTGATTTCATCAGATACTAAATATTCTTGGAACAACTAACTATATTCCCTAAGATTAGCATGTGAAGACTTACTCAACTTCCTCACTTGATCATTATAAAACCCTCCAGCCTCATGCCTTTAAAGTAAAGTCCCCAACCGAGAGACAGTAACACGATGTCAACAACAAATATAACAGCCATCAGGATTTCATCAGATGGAGCATGGCAGGGAGAGAACCCACTAAACTATGCTTTACCTCTTCTTGTCATTCAGACCACATTAGTCCTCTTGCTAAGCCGCAGCATTGCTTTTTTCCTCAAACCCCTCCGACAACCTAAAGTCGTAGCAGAAATTTTGGTATGTAGTCGGTTTTGCAAGATGTGCAGGATGTTGACATGAAAATCATACTACTAGTGCTAGGTGCTAGAGTCATCATGCATTCTTAAAACCATTCAGCCGCTTTGAGCCATTGTTTTAATTATCTCCAACATGGCCGGCCTGATACATCCCCTATGTATCCTTTTAGTGGGCTTGCTGCAACCGATATGGTCTCTAAATATTTTCTTACTGCTTTTTGGCTATTTTGGGTAGGATATCCCCAATATGGCCAATATATTAGCTGATATGTTGACCGATATATCCTTTTATACGGCTTGTCGCAAAACAATATCCTGCGTTTTTGCAATTTTTGGCGAGATATCATGATTTTCCCATCATATCAAATGACATTTTGGCCAAAAAAATCAGAACAAAGTGTTGCAACATTTGATTTGTACTTTTAATTGTTTTACAAGGTTGATTAGTGATCCTATACATATATTATTTACATTTTGTATGCATAGATTTCATTAAGTATGTTGAGATTATATTTTAGTGCATTATAATATATATGCAAATATCCATTATGACACTTCGACATTTATCGTGTATCCCTCATATTTTCCCAATATCCGCAATCCGATATAAATTTTGGCCATTCGATATTTCCTCAATATCCGATATTTAAAACCTTGCTTTGAGCTCATATGTCCACGAAATGGATCATTCATTATTGTTCAGTATATGTTTTTATTTTACCTCAACATTCAGCTATGGATGGCTATCAGATTCTAAAACTTATATATACATACACAACTATACATAATATGTTGATATAACTTGTATCAGATTTAACTGATCCCAGGACAGGCTTGATTAGTCAAGATATTTTGTGCTCAGACGGTGCATCAATTTTGTTTTGAGTATTTGATCAAGCAGGTGCTGGTCATGACTGATTTTCCGGATGAAACAACCACTAAATGTTAGTGGATAAAAATTAGTTTACTTACATTGAAGATGATGCTTCCGGACTGCTGTCATAACTTTTATTAATAAGCTTTCTTTCCTATTAAATAAATGGTCTAAAATTCGATACCACCATATTTCAACTGGATGAACTTTAGCTTATCTGCTAATATATTTCTAAAAGAAACTGTCCTCAGACAAACATATGCATGTACACACATCATTACATGCAAAAAGTTGAATTCATCATGTTCTCTCAAATATAGATATACATCCAACACTGCAATTCTGAGGCCAAAATAAGGGGGAAAATAGATATACATCCAACAAATAAGAAAGACGCTCGAGGTCTTGAAGATATTGTGAAATCTAATACCTAGAAAATCAAAGAAATATGTATAAAATTGTATGGGTGAATAAAGGAGGAAAATGAACACTTTCAGAAGATATCAGACAGAATAATGTCATTTACTAGTTTCAGGACAAATCAAACATACTAATGATTAGCTTACAAATTGTGGATTTAAATCCCCTAGTCTCTGACACTAAAGCAACCCTTCTTACAGCCAAACAGCTATTGTCCCTACAGTTATATGATCCAACTATCTGTTGTGACCAAACCTCGCTATAATGGTTCTCTAATTTCAGTCCAGATGACAGTAAAATGTAATGAATTTGTTATCAAACTAGTGTGGATCACTGTGTTTTCTATTCTAATAATTTTCTTTTTTGTGTAGGGTGGAATTGTCTTAGGACCTTCTGCACTTGGCCGATGGAAACCCTACTTGCATACAATCTTCCCCTCATGGAGCTGCCCCGTCCTTGAGACTGTCTCCAGCATCGGTCTCCTCTTCTTCCTTTTCCTCATTGGACTAGAACTCGACATCAACTCCATTCGTCGCAGCGGGCGCAAAGCCTTTGGCATTGCAGCTGCTGGAATCCTCCTCCCTTTCCTCTCTGGAATTGGGATAGTTTTCGTCCTCAGGAAGACGGTTTCTGGTGCTCCAGGTGTTGGCTTCTTCCAATTACTCGTTTTCATTGGTGTTTCACTCTCCATTACAGCTTTTCCTGTTCTTGCTCGCATTCTTGCTGAGCTCAAGCTTCTTACTACTGATGTCGGAGAGACTGCAATGGCGGCCGCTGCCTTTAATGATGTTGCAGCTTGGGTGTTGTTGGCACTTGCAGTTGCATTATCTGGAGGGCAACATAAGAGCCCGCTCGTGTCCTTATGGATTCTGCTCTCAGGTGAGGGCTTTAAATTAAACATTAGTGTAAATTTTTCACAACCCCCAACCCCCCCACCCCACCCCCCCAAACCCCCAAAACTTTTCCCACAAAACCCGCAAACTCCAAATTTTCTCAAAAAGCACCCCCCACGCCCCCAAAAAACCCAAAACTTTTAATTTTTTCCACCAAACCCTCCAAAAAGGGTCTCTTGCAATTGGAGGACATTATTATCCATCTAATTCTTTTCTTTTATTGATTGCAGTGGGTCACATTTTCTCTTCACCTTGATTTTTTGGGGTTTATTTTAGGTTCTTTGGAGTTTGGAGTTTTTTGTGGGAAAGTTTCGGGGTTTAGTGGGAAAAACAAAGTTCAAGGGGTTTTTTTGTACCCTTCGACTTTACCTGAAAGCTTAAACCGTTGGGTGATAAACCGATAATAAGACTGTTACTAACGGCAGTTAAATATGTGAAGTTGTCAAGCTGGCTGAAGGTTGAGTTCCTTCAGCTCGTTTCTGGACAATAGAGAAATTGGTTTATTACTAAAATACAAATAAGTGCTGAAACAATCCATCCTAAGCTCAATCGAACAGTTCAAGAATATCTTGCTGATATTTAGGCTTTGATCTCAGGCGTACTCTTCACAGTGTTCATGATGACAGTAATACGACCAGTTATGGCATGGATTGCTCGGCAATCATCACCAGAAAATAGGGCAACGAGGGAGATGTCCATTTGTCTGACACTGGTTGGAGTCCTGGTATCTGGTCTCATGACTGATTTCATAGGAATTCATTCCATTTTCGGTGCGTTTATGTTCGGGCTAACGATACCAAAAGAGGGGAAGTTTGCAGAGAAGTTGTTTGAGAGGATAGAAGATTTTGTGTCAGAATTGATGCTCCCTCTCTACTTTGCATCAAGCGGACTGAAAACTGATGTGGCCAAGATTCAAGGGGCGGAGGCGTGGGGCCTTTTAGTGCTAGTAACCGCAACAGCATGCATTGGAAAGATTGTCGGAACTTTCGTGGTGGCTGTCTCTAGTAAAATTCCAGCGAGGAAGGCAGCAACGCTTGGAGTGTTGATGGGGACTAAGGGACTGGTAGAGCTCATAGTTCTAAACATTGGAAAAGAGAAGAAGGTAACTCAAGTCCAATTTGAATATAAACTTTACCAAGAGTTTGCTACAAGTACAAGCTGACATATGAGCTAATAAACTCAGCCATAGTCCTATTTTTTTTAATCGTTGGTGAATTCCTCAGACTTGTTAAAGTCTAGATCTTATTCAACTTCATGGTGGTAAAATTGTAAAGGGTTAATTGCGGATAAACCCCTTACACTATCACGTGGTTGCAGATTGATCCCTTATAGTTCTATTGTTGCAGATAGACCCCTGAGTGAATTTTTTTAACTCTTCTATCCTCAGAGGAAAAGAAAATTTTTTGACAAGATATCCTAAGGGCAAAAGAGTCAAAAAACTTCACTAATGGGTCTTATCCACAGTTGGGCGATAGTGCAGGGGTCCTATCCGCAACAAGAGAACTACAAGGGAGTATCCACAACAATATAACTACAGGGGTTCTATCTGCCTTCAGACCATAGTAGAGGGCGTCTATCCACAATTAACGCAATTGTAAACCAACAAAAAGGTCTAGCCAAAACAATATAATTATAATCTAATTGTTGAACTTTTGGTTTAGGTCCTCAACGACGAGACATTCACAATCCTTGTTCTCATGGCACTTTTCACCACCTTTATCACTACTCCCGTTGTCCTTGCCATCAACAAGCCAACAGGGGATGCATACTGTAACTACAACCCTCGCCTTCAATCTGATTCATCTTTATCTTTGGGCAAAAGAGATCTCAGAATTCTGGCATGCCTCCACAACTCATACAATGTGCCATCCATCATTAACCTGATTGAAATGATACGAGGAAGTGATGAGATGTCTAGGCTCAAACTTTATGTACTGCAGCTAGTCGAGCTCACCGAGCGTCCATCATCCATCTTTACTGCATTACGAGCTCGAAAGAATGGGAAGCCAGCCCATGACTCAACTAAACTGGAGGGATGCAGTAACCTTGATCAGGTTATGGCAGGATTTGAAGTATACGAGAAGCTGGGAAGGGCCAAGATTAGATCTATGACCGCCATCTCAGCTCTTGCCACCATGCATGAGGATGTATGCCATGTAGCAGAAGAGAAGAGGGTTTCCTTTCTGATTTTACCATTTCACAAGCATTGGGTTGCTGAGGATGATGAAGAGGTGGATGATGTGGGTCATGAATGGAAATCTGTGTACCAACGAGTCTTGGCCCATTGCCCTTGCTCAGTAGGATTGTTCATTGACCGAGGATTCAGTGGACCAACTTTTACAGAGGATAATACTAGAATATGTGGTGTGTGCATTCTGTTCTTTGGAGGACCAGATGATAGGAAAGCTCTGGAGCTCGGTATAATGATGCTAGATAATCCTAATGTCAGACTGACACTGATACGGTTTGTTCAAGAGGAGAAGAATAGCCCCTTGGCCTCAGAGCAGGTAATTCTTCAATCTTACATCAAATGCTACAACTAGAGCTTGAAATTGCTATTATAGTTCTATGTTACTCTTCTTTCTCCTATACATTGCGAAGTGAAAATAACTAAAGATCTTGATAAACAGGAGCAGGATGATAAAAATGTGGCAGAGTTCCGAAGAAAGAGCAAAGGCCTGGCAGTTTATGAGGAAAAAAGAGTAGATATATTCAAAAAATTGCATGATCTATGTCAAAACAAAGAGTATGAACTTTTAGTGGTAGGGAGGCGAGCTTCATCAAGGCTAGGAGCTCTCAATCTCGGAAAGTGGTGGGGAAAGCACACAGAGCTAGGACCAGTTGGGAACAATTTAACTTCACAAGGGCTTGGAGTTGTCTCATCCTTGCTCGTAGTTCAGCAGCACTGCACTGTGAATTCATGTAATCTGATACCTTTGACTTCCATGGATGGAAACACAATGGCACTCACCATCAGCCCAAATATCAGTGCATCGGTATGAATTTGAAGAGAATTTTCTCTAGAAAGCTTGTGTTATTGCTGGTTTTAAGGGAAAAAAATGGAGCCTTATATGTAAGTAAGATGAGTGATATAATATGTTATGCTTGTAAGATATGTGTGTCTTATCAGAACCTTGGACAATTTAATTGACTTAAAACATCAGTTCTATGGATTAGTTTGTACCCAGATTGTCATTTATACCTCAGAATGTAGAGGGAGGGTCTTGGACTCCTAGTAGAGCTAGCTAACATTGTAAATAACACTTTAGGGATAAGATCAACTTAAGAAAACATGTGCAATTGCAAAGCTTAGAAATTGGAACAAAAGGATTCTACTAGGATTCTACTAACATCTCCAACCGTCTAGGCTAGTCGCAGGACCCCCGGAATTCTGATCTATATCCTGTGACTCATTTATACTGGATTCATGATCTCGATCTAAATAAAACCAGTGACATGAGAACTAAAATCATAGGAGTAAAGGTTTGTCTTGGAGTTTTCTTACCAACAAATCACATGATATTAAAAGATGCAAACTTGTGATATCAGATTGCATGTCTACATATCTACATCCGGCTGCATTTGTGGACACAAATATGTAATAATATGCATAACTATAAAACTGATTCAAGTATATGGTCCCAGGTGTATGGTGATTCCCATAATGGTATGGCAAAAGCTTAACCATTTCACTTCAACATACTCATGAAAGGTTTCATACCCTCACGATGAATCAAAATCGACTCGATTGGACAATATTTCTCCCAACTAAAACAAAACAAAATCTGTATTGCAACAGAATACATTTATGAAGGAAAGTCGCTCACAAATTTACATAACCGAAGCCAAGTTCAAGAACTACACTTTATTGCTTCCTTGCAACTTCCAGAAAAGCCTAAGGTTGTACAAAATCAGTGTTATTCAAGATACGTGATATTTTACTCCCAAGGAAAAAAAGGGAAAGAAAAAAAACATAGTCTATGTATTAACCCCTAGCCAAAACTAGGAGAGAAAAGAGACACGGCATTACTATTTTATAGCACTACACATGGAATACAAGAGGAAAATAACAGCATCTTACTAGTGAAAGCCAATTTCTGTCTGGTAAGAACCAGCGGATTTCCCACTTTGAGTGTCATTCATATTTGATGAGCTATGGGTGTAATTATCATAACCATCATCTTTCGAGTCATCCCACCCACGCCAGCTTTCACCACTTTTGGTCCTCCTACTGGACCGCTTTGTTAGGTCTCATGTTTATGAGTCTATTGTCTAATCTGGTTTTGATAATTAACAAACAATTCTTAACATTTGTTGTCAAGTGTTTGCATTTGATTGTTAGGTATCCTACACAAAAATTCTAAGTTGGAGGTTGGTTGGAATTGAGCTTAACGATGACATTCAAAGGAGGTTGGAAGGAAACCGGAACGAAGTCGTCGCAATTCAAGTTAAGATCCATCATCGCTTCATCCGCAACCAAGGCAAGCTTAATTGAAGATCTATTGCTTGGGTATAGTGTTTTAGGTTTATACTTTGTGTGTTTATACTTAGAACACAAAATTCATACACACACACATTTGTTTTGATTAATCGTTTGTTTTAATTTATCGCCGTTTTGGATTATAGACTTAACGATACTATTTCATATCTTTTCTTAGTCCATTAATCCATTCAAAAGGATTCTAAAATTGGTTTGAAATCGTTTTGTCAAAATCAAGTGTTTAAACAAACTCAGATTCTTGAGATTTTACAAAATGATAAGTTTTCACAAACGGAAAATGATATTTGAAAATTTTCTTTTCTTACATGTGTGTTTTCATCAGAATAAACAATCCTCCAAGTTTCATAATTTTTGGAATTTATTTACTATTTTTAAACACACTTTAAAAATCAAGTTTACTGTTCAAATATGTGTTGTGCACGTTTTTCGGTCGACCGGATGTTCAAACCAGTCGACCGATAA